TATCCTCTTGGTAGTCCCCAACATTTGGGCTTAATCTATCCTAGAAGGTGGATCTTCCATTCCCCTATGGATTGGATAAACTTTGAGTGTCCTGTAGTCCAGCCTTGCTTCTGGTCACAGAGGAATTACAACCCCATGGTAAGGACACTTGGGCTCAGAACCTTTCAGGGGCTTGTGATTATTCAGCATCTATACCATGGAACAAACTTAATAATACTAAATGTCTTCATATAATCTCCCAGTTGTCCTAATGTCCTTGGTGACAACATACTTTTGCTGTTTTGCAGTGTCATGGACTTTCTGTGGAAGGTTTTGTTCTTCCTTCTTCAACCACCAGAGAGGTAAGATTGGAGTCTTTCACTTTTGGTAGCTTGTCTGGCTAAAATATTTCAATGATAAATTTTCAAAATAGACCAGTACATTTATAAATCAACTGAACCTGAAATTCATTTGAAGAAAGGAAAGAAGGCTTTAAACAACAAAATGACAATCTTAGGTATTAATTTTATATTACATTAATCACGTAAGTACAGCTTCTTTAAATGGTTGGTTAGGCTAGACTGGCTTGTATGGTTGCTCCTTAGCTGGAGAAGGCATATGGACTAGAAATCTTGGAATGATGGACTTCTCAGGTCCCCGTCCTCGCATTCCCTTATTTATCTAGTAGGATGCTTGTAAGCTATTAGATCATAAACCTTAGGTCTGACTTTATGTTAGAGTAACCTGAGCTTCCATCTCAAATTTAGTGCATTCAAATCTCCACGAATGAAAGCTGAGCACGTGTACTTTCAAAAAAAAAAAATTCTTGCAATGATTCTGATAAATAACCGTGGTTGGGAAATGTTGTCATGAACTGCAGGCATAGACAACAGTTCATATGGTGTACTCGGCCCAGTCACACAGAAATTATAAAGAAATAGCTTTTGTACCAAACAATGTACTAGAATTGGCAAATTAGAATAGTAAGATTGAACAGTAGAAAATTCTTAAATCACTGGAGTTTTTTCAGATAATGACTGGAAGGGTAGGTGTAGAAAACTGAAGCTAAGCTTTTTTCTTTCTTTTTTTTTTTTTAATGTACTTCCTTCTTTCTTTTTCACATAATTCTTCATTTTGTGTATTTGTTCATCTCGGTTGTAATCTCCACCCCTCCCCCCCATAAAATGTCTCTGGTTTATAGTCGTTCATTGTTTTTTGTTTTTACTTTATTACATTGCTTCCTCCCTCCCCTAACCCCCCCCATCACTTACACTCCTGCAGTGAGTGAAACCATCTGGTATTTTTCTTTTTCTTTAGGCTTATTTCATTAAGCATGATCCCTTCTAGCTCCATCCATGTTGCTGCAAAATACATGACTTTATCTTTTTTGATTGCTGAGTAATACTCCATTATGTATATATACCACCTCTTAATACAGTCATCTATTTTTGGGCATTTGGGTTGTTTCCATGTCTTTCCAATCATAAATAAAGCAGCAATAAACATGGTGGTGCAGGTGTCTTTTTGAATCAGTGTTTTTGTGGCCGTTGGGTAGATACCTAGGAGTGGGATTTCTGGGTCATATGGAAACTTGATTTTTATCAGTTTGGGAAACCTCCAAACAGCTTTCTATAATGGTTGTACCAGTTTGCACTCTCACCAGAAGTGTAGGAGAGTTCCTTTTTCTCCACATCCTCAAGTATTTGTTGTTGCTAGTTGTTTTAATTTGTGCCATTCTCACTGGTGTGAAATGGTATCTCATTGTGGTTTTACTTTGAACAATTTTTCATATGCCTGTTGGCTGTCTGCATTTCCTCTTTGGAGAAGTGTCTTTTTAGCTCTTCTGCCCATTTTTTGATGGTGGTTGCTCACTTTATTTTTGTTAAATTTTATCAGCTCTTTGTATATCTTTGTGAACTGAGGCTAAGCTTGAAAGGCTTTGTTCTTGCCTTTTCTCTAATACACAATCTTTTGTCCTCTATTTTCCTTTTCTCTACCATTAATCAAGACGAAATGTTGATAGAATTAGTAATAATGTATACTTGAATGGTACCTATAAGAGTGTTTAAAGTACTTATACTCTTTCTTTGACTTGATCTTCAACAAAGAATTGTAGTCTCTGATTTACAGATAAGGAAACAAAGTTAGAATGATGACTAATTAAGGTCATAGAACTGACAAGTATAGGACTTAAAACCAGGTTTTTAAATCCCAAATTTGGCTGTAAAATATATACTCAGTAAAAAAAATTTTTTTTAAAGATTTATTTGTTTATTCATACAGAACTGGGGTACAGGCCAGAGATGCGGAGGGTGAGAAGATTCATCAGGGACAGAGTGGGGAGCAGAACAGAACAGGCAGATCGACGAAGTACACTGCTGAGGGGAGCAGTGGGCAGGTCAGGAGAGGTCTGCAGCGCCATGTGGTCACCTCCGGGGCAGGCAGGGATCGAACTCATGCGGAAGTGGCTTAAGCTTCTTAGTGCAGTGCTTTAATCCGCTGCGCCACCAGGGAGGGCTACTCAGTAAAATTTTACCAAAAGTTATTCCCCTTCCTACCAAAAAGAAGTAAGATACCTAAGTACCCTTCACTCTAAAATAACATCAGTTTTTTCATGCCCATTTTAATATAACAGTATGACATGGTTACATAAATCTAATCATCATGTATATATAATTTTTTATATAATAGTTTATTTTTATATAATTTTGTACATTTTTATGTATATATAATTTAATCTCTCCTTAGCTATTTCATTTATCTGCCACAATCATTATACTTATTTTTTAATTTTTAGAAAGATTTATTTGGGTACAAGACAGAAGTGCAAGAGCAGTGAGAGTCTTCACCAGAGATAGTGTGGGGAGCAGAACAGGCAGATCAATGAAGTACACTGCTGAGGGGCGCAGTGGGCGGGCCAGGAGAGGTCTGCCATTCCATGTTGTTCACCTCCGAGGCCGGGGATCGAACTCTCACTGAAGCCGCTGTGACTGGCTTGCAGTGCTGCGTCCTAACCTGTTGCGCCACCAGGGAGGGCCTGTATTTATTTTTTAAATGACCATTAAAACTCATGAAGTTGCTACACCATGAAATACCATTATTTATACAATCATTCCTATGTTTATGTTACTTCTAGTTTACACTTGTGACTAATGCTACCATAAACAATGCTTATACATAGAACCTTTTTCTTCAATTATTTTTTTTAGGGTGAACTATTAGAAATATGGGCCAGAGGGTACTGACAGATTTTTGAATCTTGTTGTGCATTGTCAGATTGCCTTCCAAAAAGATCAAATCAAATAAGGGATCAGGAAAAATAATTATAATAAATTAAAAAAAAAAACAAAGTTAACAGGCAACTATAAATCAGAGACACCGCAGGAGGCAGTGGGATCGAGATATCAAAGCTGGGGTGGGAAGTGCACAAGGGACTGTGGTGATGGTGAATTGGTGGTTGGAATTACATGAGTGAATTTCAGTGAGAAGAGAAAGCAAAAATTATATAAAATGGAAGAATGATTTAAATTATATATAAAATAAAATAAACAAATATTAAGAATAGAGATTGAACTGACTTATTTTCTTCAAAAGGGACTGAAGCAGCACTCTCTTGGCCTCAAATTTTTTTCTCACCTTGTAGAATGGGTGGTTGATGTCTCCTTGAATGGACTTTTATGAAGTGATGTGCTTTTTCTCAATCACAGATGACTCCAGGCGAGATTAAATTCTCTGTTCATGTGGAATCTGTTCTGAATCGTGTACCTCAGCCAGAGTACCGTCAACTCCTGGTTGAAGCCATCCTTGTCCTTACCATGTTGGCAGATATTGAAATTCATAGTATCGGAAGCATCATTGCTGTAGAAAAAATAGTGCATATTGCCAACGACTTGTTCCTTCAAGAACAGGTAGGCAAGCCTATTGTTTTTACCAAAGCGAAATGTCTCATATTATTCTGATAAGATTGTTTTCTTGTGTCCTCTTTCCCATAGCTCTTTTCTGAACTACCCCAGTAGTACCTCTGAGCTCTTTTTGCAGAAGTAGGCTGCAGGATGCCTTCTTTCACCATGCATTTTGTAGTTGTGCTAGATGGTAAAACTGTCTGGAGCTCAGGAGACTTTTGTGCCTTTGGTCATATTTTAAACTTCTCTTTATATTTTAAACTTCTCTTCTCTTTGATATTAGACTACTGGTAGCATATCCCTTCTGCAGAATTAAGTAAACAAGAAGTCATTTTGTTTTCTTTCCTTTTTGCTATTTACCTATATTACTTACCTATCAAAATGAAACTTAATTCTACATTTTTCTTACTAACAAATCTTCTAGGAAATTAACTATATTTTAAAAATGTGAACTATGTATCAAAAGTTTTCTGTGGTTCCCTAGATTAAGGACTATGGCTGATTTGGTGGTGGGAGTGCTGTAGTGTGACTAACCTTATATAGGAGAGCCTATACTGTCAAAACACTAGCAAGAATACAAAAGAATGGCATTTCAATATAAAACACACACACACACCTAAGATGTAGGATCTGTGCTGTCATCAAGAGGAATAATCTCCAAAACTTGTAGTAGGTGTTAGACACTATGAAGGCGTGCAAAACAAATAAAGTGTCCAGGATTTTCTAGAACAGTCCTAATTTAAAATTTTCTAGATTGCTATTAGTCTATATATTAGAAAATGTGATCTGTTTTATGCTTAAAATCTAGTTTTAAAAGTTTGCAGTCTATCTGAATTCAGTTGACTTAGAAAGAAATAACGATAAAATGCAAAATAAAATGATGCACAGTAAAGCAACCATACTAGAAGAATTCAGACCAGGGTGAATTCAGGGTGATTTGTAAGTATTAACATTTGACTCTTAGTAGGCAAACTGGTTTAATTAGCTGTCATGTTTAACTTTCAAAAATTCATTGTAATGGAAAAATTCTAAACAATAAATACTTTAAAAATAACTTCACATGACTTTGAGGTCTAGTGAAAAATGCATTTGTAGAAACCTATAATTACCATTTTGTCCATAACGTGGCTAAACAGTGTAGGATCCAGCTAATTAGTTGGGGAATGGGATGTGCCTCTGAGGTATCCTGATCAGGACTTCAGGTAGTAAGATTAGTAATTTTTCCTTTCCTCTGTGTTCTCCCGCCCTTAAAAACCAAACAGAAAACCCTTGGCGCAGATGATATCATGTTGACCAAGGACCCCGCTTCTGGCATCTGTACTCTTCTGTACGACAGTGCACCCAGTGGCAGGTTTGGCACCATGACCTACCTCTCCAAGGCAGCCGCCACCTACGTGCAGGAGTTCCTGCCCCACAGCATCTGTGCCATGCAGTGAGGCCTTCGGGCCTTAGCTTCTGGGAGCCTTTTGACATCTGGTTCTTGCCTCAGTTGATTGTAAATGAAACTGAAATGTGATTGCTTGATCACTCCCACTCTGATCCCACCTCTCCCAAGAAGAACAAACTTTTCTGAGAAACTAACTGCTATAGAAGTGAAGCCTTGCTTGAAGATGTATGCTCATCCAGGCAATTCACTGTGGGCCTTAATTATTTCATGGTTCATAAAAGTTTGCATGTGTTTTTATTCTCTAGATTTATTACCAACTTCGTTTTCCAACTCCTATTTGGGGAGTATCTATTAATAACTTATTCCTAAAGTTGGTTTTGTTTTGTTTTTTTTTCTGGTGTGACCTCTGGTGGTTTTGGGAGGTTATTTCAAGTAAATAAATTCCAAGTTGTTGGAGTTTATGCTGCCTTAAGTTGGGAATGTCTATTTTAAATGTGTTTTCCTGGGGGAAAAAAAGAGTAGCAGGGTATGGTTTCCTTTTTTACTCACATGTTGCCTCACACTGTGATGGACACCTCTCTGTGTAGCATTGTTTGGTGAAATAGTAAAAATGTTAATGCAATGTGCATATTTAAGGATTTGGGTATTAACACTTGAAATCACATCTTGTGAAGATTGCTGGTACTCATAGATGTAGTTGCATCCGAAAATGCAGAATAACCCAGAGCAATGGAGCCCCAAGCCCAAGTCCAGAGAATAAGATGGAAGAAGAGATGATGCCTGTGTGGTGTGATGAACCCAGGGAGCAGAGTGGGAGTCAGAGGTGGGTTAGTGCCCTAAAGACATCCTTGTGCACACTTAAGTCTTAGCTCTGAAGAGTGGGCCAAAAGGCAACACAGAGAATAACTGAAACCTTTGTCTTTGGCAAAGAGCAGCCCAACAGTCTAGTATATAGCACTTTACCGGGCACTCTTATGTTCGCCTAGTCTGTCTCATTCACACACTCACCTTTTCGATATGCAGTCCTCTCCCCTTCCCATCCTCCTGCCTTCCCAACAGTTTTTAAACTCTTTCACGTACATTTTCACTTCCTTATTTACATATTCATGTCTCTGTTTGTCTTGATATCTGTAAAACACCTGCTTTGTTTTATATGTCTAAGCATACATGGAAATTTTTCTGAAAGTAGTCCTGGTGTCTGTACTACTTGTAGCTACAACTGATACACCAAGTAAGTATGCAAACATGAGTGTTGTGTGAGACAAAGGTATGGCCATGTCCTCATGCTCACACACATGGAGCTCAGGAAGAATCCTTCAGTTTTCTTCCTTGGTCCCGTGTTTAGGTAGCCTCTTTTGAAGAATGTTTCTCCTAACTTTCTGTCTCATTCAGTTCAGACTGCTGTAACAAAATATGGTAGACTGGGTGGCTTAAGAAACATTTATTTCTCACAGTTCTGGAGGCTGGCATGTCCAGGATCAAGTTGCCAACAGATTCAGTGTCTCAGAGGCCCCACTTCTAATGTGCAGGTAGACACTTTCTTGCTGTTTCCTCACATGGCACAGAAAACTTTAGTCTCTTCCTCTTATAAGAGTACTAATCTCACTGTGGGGACTCCAGCCGCATGACTGACTATCTCCAGAAAGTCCCAACTCTATAAATATCATCACATCGTTAGTGAAGGTTTTAATATAAGAAGTTTGACGGGACATAAGCATTCAGTCCATAGTGCTTCCCTTCCCTTCTATGAGTGTAAAGACTACTAATTGCCCTATTTGTACTCAGATTCTAACTTTCAACTTCAGTGCTCTCCTTTCCCTCAGATTTTTTTTCTTCAAGAATGGGAATGGGAAATTCTTGAAACAATTCTTACAGAATCAGTGACAGTCTTATGAGAACACATGCATGAGTGAGCACAGTGGGTGATAGAAAACAGTGGAAACAAGGAGAGGGTGGCCAACCTTTTCAGTGACTTAGAGCAAATGGAAACACAGTAAGTCATTTTCCGACTGATTTTTTCCTCTCATTTACAAAGAAAAGTTACAATCTGTTGTGAAACTCTTTTCTCTGGTTGCAAACATACCCCAACCATGGGGAGTATATCTGGAGTGACTCCAGTGAAGTACCCCATACCTCCCCCCGCCGCCCTGATAAGTTGCCTGAACTGAGACTGATGGCTGCATTTCTCTGGGTTTACTACATTGTATATCACTGTCCCCCCAAAACAATGTTAGTTTTAGAAAAATTTTGTATTTTGTTCATTTTAAGCATGTGATACTAAATGACATATTGGACTCTGTTAAAGCACTCATGTTTTGAACATAGAATAGAATAAAGACTTAGAAGTTTCGATTGAATCAAGTCTTGTCCCAGTGTGCAAAAATTTTATATTTTCATGATTGGAGTTTATTTCATAGCTCTTGTATGTACTCTACATACTACAGCCAAAGCTCATTAATTGTGTCAAAATGGAATAGTATGTCTCATTATATACATATACATTATGCATTATATAATACATGTCAAGAAATACAGTTTTATCATTCAAATACATACCTGGGCAGACTAGGCTCCCTAAATTCAAATGGGCTTATAGGTGTTTTTAGAGAGCCTATTCAGATGAATAAGACAAATTTTTACTCGGCATTATAATTATGTGCAAATGGTGCTGATGTACTGCTGGAGGCCTAAAAACACTTGGTTCTCCTAAGTCTTACAAATATTTGACAGAATCTTGTTTATATTATTCATTGACTCCTTTTATAGTGAGGGGGTTTATCCAGCTGAAACAGTGCCCATAATCAACAATCCTCTTCTCAATGGGTTTTTACTACATTTTATGAATTTTGTGCAGCTGGTGGGACAACATTTGTGTTCTTAGATACAGTCCATAAAACTTCTACCACCCCCCCCCTAAAAACCAACTTCTACCATCCATTTTTGCACACACCAAATACCTGTACTAATGCACTGAAGATAAATACATATTTTGTCTTTCTTTCCTATAAAATGTGAGTGACTTTAGGTCTTTGTTTGCCATTTATGCCTGTTATAATTATCCATAGCATGCCCTGCCATTCATGCTCAAAATTGGCTCACTTTGGATGATGTGGTTACCCTATATTTAGCAGAAGTCTGATTTCTTTTAAGGCTAAGCTTAAAATATAAGTACTTATTCTCAAACTACTAGTGCAGTAATAGTATATGGGTGAGAATAGGAGTGGGGAAAAAAGGGAGACCCCCCAAAATTAAGCAATATTTGGCATAATAGTTCTAAATACAAATGATAACCAATGTTTGAGTCTTACTAAGTGCCAGATTTCATTATATAGGCAGTTGACACACCATCCTAATCTGTCTTTACAGTTACCACGTGAGACATCCTATTTTCATCCCTATCTTATAGACAAGGGGACTGTGGTGTTGGGTATTTAAGCAGTTAGTGAAAAATCAAATAGTAAGTGTTAATGCTGGAATTTGCACCCAGCCAGTCTGGCTCCGTAGAGTTCATGTCCTAAACAGTGACACCGTCCAAGCACAAGGTGTTAGTATTGTGAAAACACAGGTTGTTCTGTTCAGTACACTTGAGACATCAGTGGGCAGATTGTGAAATGCACAATCTGCTTTTCCTTCTGCCTGCTTCTGAAGTGAAGCAAGCGAAGGTATGGGAGATAGCCAAAAGAAGTTGTAAAGTCCATTCTGACCTTGCAGGTTCAAAAATTAAAGTACTGTTAGCAGTAATGGCTGAGGAAAATGAGTCAAGGAACTTTCCTAGGGTTACCGTATCAGTAAACTTCAGAGACAATCTAGATTCAGTCTGATCTCTAGTCCTCCAACCATGAATGCAGTGCTTTGTAAAGGGTTAACTTCACAATTTAATGACCATATGGTTATTAAACCTGTGTAAATTGAGGTTAGGGGAGTTAGGGGCCTCTGGCATAGTGTATGCTCTGTCTTAGCGCTGAGCCAGGAGCCAGGCACCAAGTGACATTTGCTGCAGCAGTGTGCTGCCACTTCCAGAGCCTCACACAACAATTGAATCATCTTGTGAGTTGAATCATCTTGCTAGGTGCCAAACAAGGATACTGTTGGCCAGTTTCAGTTTGGAAGCAGTGTTCACGTGTTGAAGTGTTCTACTGTTAGATCTGACAGAGCACATAGAAAAATACATTTTCATTAGAGTCTAGAATTTAGCAAGTCAGTTGGCCAGTCTTTATCCTGCCCTTTTCTTTCCATTGCCTAGCTATGAAGGTCCTCTGTATGTTGCCAAGTTGTCATGATCTAGGCTTCCAGTCAGCTCTACAGCCCCAGAGACTCCTTCCCATCTGTCTATAAACATGCATTTCTCTTACCCTAAAAAAATCATTCCTAGACTCTGACATGTCTGCAAGTCAATATTTTAACTGCTTCCTTTCACAAATTATTTCAAAGAGGAGGCTACACTTGATAGTTTAGGCTTCACTACTTATATCTTTGCAATCTGGCTTCCTGATCTACTTTAATGTTTGTTTTTTCATAGGGCACCAGAGAACTCTTCTTGGTAAAGGGTCTGACTCTTCCAATCTATGATGTTGTTACTATTTCTTCCTTGTAGCTCTCTTATTAATGTCTTTGAACTTCTCACCTTGTTCTCACCCAGGTCTTCCTTTTTTGGCCTCCTTTCTGGCACTGTTTTCTCCTAATACTTACAAATAGGCATTTCCAAAAATTACACTCTCCCTAGGTAAGAATTTTTCACTATGATGTGGAAAAAATGTTTAAAAAATGATTTATTTTATTTATACATCCAAGAACTGGGGTATAGACCAGAAGTGAAAGAATTCACCAGAGACAGAGTGGGGAGCAGATCCACTGAATTACACTGCCGAGGGGAGCAGCAGGAGAGACAGGAGAGGTCTGCTGTGCTATGTAGGTTGACTCCCTGGCTGGAGTGGCTGCTGATAGCTTCATAGTGCTGAGACTTAACCCTTGTACCACCAGGGAGTCCCACTGTATGGATTAGGTTTTAAGTTATGATATGATCTCATTTTTATTTTTTTGAAACTCATTCTGGAGACCGCAAAAGGGAATGTATTGTAGATCAATAAGATAAATTCAAGACCAATTAGATATACAAAATACTTCCAGATTTCTGGCTTTGGAAACTGGATGTTGGTAACTTTACCGACCCATAAAAGATGGAGAAAGGGCAGAAAGAATTTGATGGGGAAATTCTAGACAATGTACCCTCCCCTGGCTCCTACCAAGCAAAATCTTGTGATTTCACTAAGACCCTCTCATATGGCACTGAAAAAGGCTAGTTATCATTTGTTAGGTACCAATTATTAAGTAGTTTAAGCCTCCTACATTCATTATCTGACTGTACTGCATATGATTTGTGTATTTGTCTCATCTTCTCTATAAGAATGCATATTCCTCCAACACAAGGGTGTAAACCAATAGTCCTTCAATTAAAAAAAATGCAAACTCTCTGAGAGCAAATTGTAATTTATCTTAAGGATTGAGTTCTCAGCTATACTTAGGTGTCAGATACTGTTTTGATGAATGATTGATTGCTTGCAAAGATTTGAGCTAATTGCTATGAGATGATACGAAAGCATGAGCTTAGATTCTAGTTAAAGGGCACATCACAAAAAATATATTTCCAGAATGCTATCTATTGAGGGTATACTTAAATGGAGAGTTGAACAAAATTAGATGTAACACAAATTCATCATGAAGGAAGAAATTTTATTTAGTAGAGCAAATGTTCAAAGGTTTCAGTGTCAGGCAGACATGATTTTGAATTCCTGATTTTCTGCTTTTTAAGTGTGTGACTTTAAACAGGTATTTTCTCTCTCTAGATTCACTCTGTAAAGTGGGTATATTACAATCTCCTTCATTGTTGCAAGGTTGAAATGGGATAAGATAGCCAAGCCACATATCACAATGCGCAATACATGTTTCACGAGTAAAATGTATGCTAGATTTTATACATTAGGAATGCTGCATTGTGTGCAGGGTGCAGTTCAGATTGATGTAAGACTTGGAAACTTGGGCAGTTGGTGTCAGATCATATGGACGCCAGCAGCCTGGAAATACTGATGGTAATTCCACACTTCTCAGGATATTCTTTAATATGGACCTTCACATTGAAACTAACATTTTCCTAACCCTTATGTGACTGCAGAAACAAAAGGAGGGAGGGAAGAGGAGCTGCAGTTTCCAAACATTATGGAAAATATCTGTTAAACCTTTACTCTACAGCTTTGCCAGAGTAAATTATCTAGGTTATTATATTTTACATGGACATGGATAGCTAATGGTGAAAAACAATGGATTAAAATTGCAGCACAGAACTTACTGTTTAAGCTTTGCAAAACACGATGTAGATGGGTGGGCTGGACTCTTGGTGGCTACATTGATCGTCAAATGTTTATATGGGTATTTGAAGGTTGAAACAATTCATATAGAGTTGAGGCTGATTTTTATTTTTTAGCGCTAAAACTCAAATTCACGACTATTTAGTAATTCTGCCCGGCTCTTCCGCTACTCAACCCTCTTCAAACTACATTTCCCAGCATGCTCTGGAACTGTCTGACCTCATCTCAAATGGCCCCGTCGGGCAACAAGGATAGTTTTGACCGTGCATATTTGTGCCATAAAATATTCGATCTTAATTGGCAGCTATTTGGGTGTTTGTACTAACCGACCTCCCGTTTTTGAACTGTGGTCACTAAATGAAGGGGTTCTGGCCTGGAAAGGCCTATGCATTCCTTCAACTGGTTGGGGAACGAAGACAATGTTCTCTGACAATCTCGAGAATAGGAGGGAATGTTGACCAGGGAGCACCCCGGCGGCCGAGCAAAGGAGCAGGAACTGGAGCCCGAGCTGAGTCCGAAAAACGCCGGATCCGTACTGGGGCTCCGGCGCGGCTGGGAAAGGACGATGGAGGAGCCGGAGGAACCCGCGGACAGTGGGCGAGAGCTACCCCCGGTTTACATCTACAGTCCCGAATATGTCAGCATTTGCGATTCCCTGGCCAAAGTCCCCAAACGGGTAAGAGAGGTTGGCATGGAAGACTGGGCTTTTGGGGTGGGAATCGGAGGGCTTTCGGACCCGGAGAAACCGATCTGGGGGGAAATCAGTAGAAAATTGGGTCGCTTACCTACCAGGTGGTAGAAGAGGTGTTCCCTATCTAGTTTCACGAGCCACAGTTTTTCATCGGGGCGTCGGTTGGACTGGTGGGGGTGGGGTGAGGTCGGGTAGGGTGGGGTGGGGTCCGGCAGTGTGGGGTGGGGTGGGGGTATGAGAGGAAGGGGTGGCACAAAGAGGATGGTATTTCAACTGCAAGGGACCCCAGAAGTCGTGAAGAAGAAACTGCAAGAGGAAAGTGTGCCTGCACCGCGGTAAGGCCGGGGGTAGCTTCCGCTTTAGTGATTCAGATACTTTGTTATCTATATTGCCTACAGTGTATTTTAACTACAAAGAGAGGGAGAGGAGCTATAAAAGTGGATTCCTTTCGTTCAGAAAGATTCAGTCTACCGGATTTCGCTGAATTAAACATGTGTGAGACTATTTTCTGCCTTTTATTTATTTATTTATTTTGCTGATGTTTTTAGGCCAGTATGGTACATTCTTTGATTGAAGCATATGCTCTGCATAAGCAAATGAGGTAAGTCGTCCTTCCTGAACAGAGCCCTGAGCCTCAATATTCTATTTCACAGTGGGGCCAGTTAGGGAGAGAATGGTGCTTTAAAATGTTTTGGTGATTCACAGTGCTTGTAATCTGCCTATATCTTGGTGAAAGCACTTGAAGAATTAAGAAAATGTGGAAAAAAAAAAAAGCACAAGCAGATAAACCCATTAGAAACGGCACTTTGTTGCTTGCAGAGAAAGGGGATAAGTGAAGTGTTTCGTGAGGTTTTGAGCTATGTGTTTGGGTATTAAGACCTGTCTGATGGAAAAAAGGGTGTTCAGCTGGGAGGCGTTCTGGTGGGGGGTTTCCAAACTGGACTTAAGGGTGTGAGTTTAAGTTAGACTTTTAGATACCCCTATCACTATCACCAAACCTTAATGAGTGATCCTGAAGGTAAGTCAAAGCCAAAGTAAACTCCCACAACGAGGCCAGAACTCAGCAGAGAGAGTAGTGCTTCATTTTTTTTTTTAAATGAGCTTGTTGTTTGTCACTTTAAGAGTAAATATTATAACCCTGCCCTTGTAGGGTTATTTGTGACATATCCTGGCCAATTAGGTGAGTTTCTGTCTAGATTGCCTAGTGTGGTATATGCTTTCTCCCAGAAAGCAGTGTAGTAGGCCTGCAAATGTTATCCTTATTATCACACTCCTTTATTGAGTATCTGCTTGAAGATTATTTTTCAGCCATTTTAAACCCATGCATTTGATAAACATAAAAGCTACATGCTTTCCATTAAAGTTATTTAACATTCAAAAAAATTACTGTAAGGCAAACAGGAAATCAAAGCCAGGCAAAGTTTTCCTATGTCCTTGCTGTTAAGTAAGGAGGCTTTCAGTAAATATTTGTTAAAAAACTAGAAGGTAATATTAGAGGAGATTACTAGAACTGAGAAACATGGTCCCCAAAATAGTAAAAAAAATAATTTTAATGGCCAGATTGATCACCTCTGAGGGTGTAGACATGTTTTCTTTAAGCAGGGAATTATTGAATACTGACATTATTTCACTTTTGTGGCCAAGCCACAGGATTCTTCTGGCCTGGTAGGTGACAGTAGTAGCCTCTTATAGTCACATTAATCCACATTCATTCATAAGAAAGTCATGGCCTTGTTCCCATCAGCAAACATTACAAACTACCACTTCCCTGTGGCCAAGGTCATTGCTCTCCCAACTTGAATGTGCTTGTGGATCACCTTGTTAAAATGTAAGTTCTTATTCTGGAGGTCTAAGGTAAGACTGAAGTTCTGCCTTTCTAATGAATTCCCAGGTGTCACTGCTGCTGGGGATGGTGCACAGACCATCCTTTGAGTGGCAAAACTACAGAAAATTAATGGCAGTGTTGAAATCAGAAAGAAGAAATAAGAAGTAGGGGTATAGAAAACTAGAGCTCAGAGATGGTAATTCCGGTTGTTACCTTAAGGCCCTGAATTCTCTCAGTCACTCCTATTTCTCACTTCTTATGAGGAGTTGGTTAAGCGCTTCTGAGGGAAGCCATGTTCAACCTTTTTGCCACTTCTCTCCTTCCTCTGAGAGGCAGGTGTAAGGGGCCAAATACAATACCTTTTACATTTTGAGTTACCTTTTTTTTTTTTTTTAAAGATTTACTTGTTTATGCATACAGAACTGGGGTACAGGCCAGAGGTGCAGGGGCGGTGAGAGGATTCACCAGAGA